ATCCATGCCCAGGCTTCAGCGGCTCTTCAAGGGAAACCAAGTCCCCTTCCTCCATTCTTAGCTCAACCCAGGGTTCCTCTTGCTTGGGCTCCTATGATTACAATTCCTAGCGCTCTGTTCTTCCAGTTCCCATAAACAACCATCTCCTCAGGAACTAGCCGGTCCCAGAAGGACTGAGTTCCAGAATTTTCTCTGGACTCCGCTACTTCATGGACCCCCAAATAAATGAGGATACCCCTGGTGAATCCAGGGCAGTTTCCTGTCACTTTCCTTGTAGAAAAAAAGAAAAAAGAAAGAAAGAGGATGAAAGAAAGAATAAACAGAAGAAATTGAATTTTTTTGAGGTTATCCTTCCAGAACAGTGGTACATTAATTTATTCATTTAACAGATGTTTCTCGGTTGCCAGCTACGTGCCAGGCACTCTGCTATGCACATTATTGTTATAATTGTCATTATCTCTATCATCGTTGTCATGAGTCTATATTAGATTGTGAATTTCTTAAGAACAGAGACAGTCTTTTCATGGTAAAAAGTGTACAGTGAATGTCTACTGCCTGAATAAATGAAAGAGGAAGACGTTAATGAAAGACGTTAAAGAAGATTAGGCTTTTTACACATTTGAAGGAAAACAGAGAACAAGGATTGCTCTTTAAATTGTACTATAACATTAAAATAAATTTTAAATGTTTAATAATTGTCATAATCTTTCCACCCTACCACATGTACATTTTTCATTTTTCTATGCTTTCTTTTTATGTCTATTTACATACATATTTTTACATATTTGTAATTTGAATGCATTTTCCATGTCATCTTCTGCCTTTCCGCTTAACATTAATGACAAATATTTTTGTGTGTTTTTACATTATCTTTATGACTTTCTGTAATTTAGTAATTTCTCTTTTCTTATTTTGTGAAATCCCTGTTGGGTTCCCTGTCTTCACTAGCAATGTAAACCCCTGAACAACCTGTCAGGTGTTTGTGCTTCTTCCACAAACAGCAAGGTAAGGGAGCCCCTGGGAAAATACATCTCATTCTGGAGGAAGAGATGGTACCCCATCAGGGAGCAGGCAGTCAATCAATCCCAGGTGCACTCAGGAGAGAAGAAATGTGTGCCTGGCAAGCAGCTCTGAACTAAGAAAGTTGTGTGCAGGGTAATGTTTAGCTTTATTCTGCAGTTCCATTGACATGTTTCTACCTCTTGGCCCTCATGTAGCAGCCTGCAGAGCTACCATCTGCCAAGCTTTTGCTTTTCTTCCTGCTTTGCACAGAGCTTTTGCTTTTAATATGCGCTATTGAATAGGGAAAAACAAAAGAATACCAGACTTCAGAGATCTGCCTGCTTCTCTTCTGCCTTTTAATGGAGCTTAGCTCTTTTGCCACTTGTTGTTGCCAAGTACAAGATAAGTGCAGAGAAGGACTACTGCACCTTACACAGGATGCTGTCCCTTGAAGAAACTAACAGGAAACAGGAGAGATATATAAGGATATGCTCCTCTGCCACTCTCATCTTGGAAACAAGTGGAGGTATCTTTGCAAAATTATATTGAAAATAAACAGAAAAATGTCTTTTACTTTATAGTCGACTCTTCTGATATGGAACTAGTTTTAAATGAAGTTATGAGGAAATGGCCCTTGTGACTAAATGTTGATTAATGTGCCATAAGCTGTGAACCTAGGATTAGAAATGGAGATCAAACTAAGGAATGGAAAGTGGGAAGTGCTCTGGGTGTCTTGCCTAAGAGATTGGGCCCTCAAATTTTGGAGATAAACTATAGTTTGTAGACTAGAGAATCTAGATTTACATTATTTTGCATAAATGTCCTCTCTCTTATTTGTTACCATTTATCAAGTTATGTTTTAACAGTCCATAGCTTTGAGCTATAATGTATATGCTTGGGCCAGAGTTTAATGGGGATCAACAGCATGCCTAGAAGCCAACATGTGGGCAGCAGGTGTAATTAGAGAGAGATCCTAAGAGAAAGATGAATCTGATGGTAGGGACACCCAAAAATGAAAAGCCAAATTGTTTAGAGGTCCCTTTCCAACAGATCTCCTACGACAGCCGACCTTAAATATTATTTCAATTTTCTATTATTTTTATTACAAAAGTATTCTATCTTTTAAGAAGTACTCAACCCAAAAGAGTTCTTTTGAAAATATTAATGTTAGGAAATTAAAGCAAAGAGAACTTAAATAATAACATTTTCTATAAGCTCTAGGATCCAGCACCAATTAAAGAATATGAGTAAAAAGTAATGGAGTTACTACATGTCCAAGGTCTCATTCACCTTGGTATTTCTTTTTTAAAAATGATTTTACTTTAATTTTTTTAAAAGACTAATCAAGTGCAGTAGTGAGAAGGAGGGAAAGAGTAAACAAGGAGTTTGATCTGTAACTGACTGTGAACAATCAATTGAGATAACTCACTATCTTCAGATCAACCCACCTTGACATTTCTATGATAGGCTTAATCATTCATTCTTTCACCGAACATTTTACTGAGTGACTATGAAGTGACAGGTATTATAGGCAGTGAGTTGTATGCTCTTGTTATCTATGTCGGTTTTTATTTGGATAAGCAAGGGCTAAGCGTGTGTGGCACAAATATTTTAAGGCATATGAGTGAGCTACCCCCTCAGGGCTTTATCTGTGCTCTGCCAGAGCACATGTGCATCCCTGGAAACCTCACTTGAGAGGACAGAAGGTGGTTGATATCACCCACATTCTTCCTATACAACACCATCTTGTCTGAAATTTAGTCACCTTAATCACTGTTTACTATAAAGTTCCACACCTTAAATACCAGGCAATTACAGGATATGGTGTTTTGGCCCTAATGAACCTTGCAAATACCTGAAATACATAGAATATTTATCTTCATGCCAGACATAGCCCTAAATTTTATGGGGCCAGAGGCAAGAGTTCAAATGGAGGCCAATGTATCATGTGCAACTACTGAGAATACTATGCTAACTTGTCAGTGCTGTAACTACAAATTGGAACACGGAGAGAAGGAAAACCTCTGCTTGACACTACTGGGAAACAATACTGTGTTTTGTCATGCAAGAATCTAGAGCATTCAAGATGAGATGAAGTATTTGACAAATTAACTAATTTGTCTTCTCTCTTGCCTAAGCACTTCTGCTGCTCAAATTCTGCCTGAACTCCAAAGCAGTCTATCTCTGATATGGACAGCCATACCACCCACACATTTTCACTGCATTTGGAGTCCATCTTTTGTTTGAGGGCATAAGGCAAGAGATGTGAAGAAGAGTTTCCCTGGGTCCTGAATAGTATTGTTCATGGGAGAGGGAATGTATGCTGTGGGCCACTGTTCAGTTACAGCACGAGTGGTGGAAGCACCATGTATTTTTTTAATAAATGTGTGTGTGTGATATGTAAGGTCCTTTAATGCATGGAGTCCAGGATACGGGTCTCTCTTGCCAGATCTAAGGGGGGTACCGTTTAGTGATAATAGGAATTTAATGCCAAGCTTATCCATAGGGGATCTAGATGGCTTACGTTTTTTTTAGAATTCTTTCAGCATTAAGAAAAATTGAGCTAGATTGATAGTTTAGAGAACTGTAGCATATTTCTATTACAAATCTGACTTTCCCCAAAACTAGGTTTAAATGACAATGTTATGAAGACTTTTTAAAGAAAGTAAATAGCTAAATACATACGCATAAAAAAGAGAGAATTAGTGTACTGAACAACCATGTTTCCATTACCCAGCTCCTACAATTATCAATTCATGGCCAATCTTGTTTCATCTATACCCTTACTCATTGTGGGAAAGTATAAATGAATGATTTTTTAACAAATCCAAGATGTCTTATCATTGCATCCTATATATTTCTAAAAGATATTCTTAAAAAGATACGACCACAATACCATTATCAATTATTCCCTATTCAACAAGAACTTTACAGTTTCATCCACATGAAAGGCACATGGTTTTTGCTTTTGAGAATGAAAATAATTTCTCATGATCAGTGTTATTTTATAGTGTTCATTATGTCTGAAGTCGCAAGATCTGAGGTGTGATGTGTATGTATAGTTAAGACTACACTGAATCTATTTGTAGGGCTTGGCTTCAAGAACTGCAAATTTTAGACCTAGCTGAACTGGTGACCGTGAACTTCAGACTTTTACAAAAGTTTTAAGTTTTTTTTTTTTTTTAACCTTTGGAAAGCAAGGCGTGAGAAGGGGATTTAGTTTTTCTATTAGGCCGAGGCGTGTTAAGACTTGTTTCTTTTTCCAAAATGTATGAGTTGCTAAGAGAGAACCATGGACTTTATGAACAAGTCCTGGAAAAGACTTTTTTTTTTAAGGCCGGGGTCGGGAAGTTCGTTGGTTTCGGGTCGCGTTCCTGCCCTGGGCCGGCCAGCCGTCCGTCCCGGCTGGTTTGCTCCGGGCGTGCTAGAGGTCAGCGGCCGGGGCCGGACTCGGTGCCTGGGTCTCGCGCAGCTCCAGGGCTCTCAGGCGACACTGGGCGTTTCCTCCCTTTCCGGCTTCGGAAAGTTTTGTTTTGGTTCTTAGTTCCCTGTAAAGGAAAGACACCCTGTTGACCAAAGGTTTCTCAGAGCCTCCTCTGGATGGCCAGCGGCCAAGTTTCCACCATGCCAGCTTGCCCAGACTTTGGTCCGTTCGAGATCCTCGAAGGCTGGGAAGCGAGTCTTGTGTGGAGGAAGCGAGTGGGCAGCCAGCCTGCCGACTCCACTGCCGCTGGGATCTTCCCTCCGTCTCTGGGCCAGTGCCCGTCGCGCCGCAAACGGTGCGGGCAGTCTCCCCGGTGACTTCCTCAGGGACCCGGTTCTCCACCATTCCTAAGAGAATACTCAACCTAGCCCCGCCCGGGCTTGGGAGAGGACGACCAAAACCCGGGAATGGGGCCCGGGGCGCATGCGCGCACCGAGGCCGTGGCGTCTAAGTGTGTTCGCCCCGCGGCGGTAGCCGCTAGGTGGCGCATGCGCCCTGGAGGGTGCGGGCCAGTCCCTGGGAAGAAGGCGGCGGCGGCGGCGGCGGCGAAGGCGGGGGCGCCGTGGGGGCCGGGCAGTGTTTACACAGCGGCGGGCGGGCGCGGACGCGGAACCCGGCGCGGCGGCGGCACGATGGTCATGGCGTATTTCGTCGAGAATTTTTGGGTAAGCGAAGGATGTTAGAAATAGTGAGTTTCGGAGCCCAGAGCTTTCGGCGCCTGACCTCGGCCTGCGTGCGCTTCGAGCGGCAGCCGCGGCGGCGGCTTTTCGGGCAGGGCGAGCGTCCTCGGACCGCCGCCTGCTGGGTCCCGCCTGGCTGAAGTCCGGCGGGCGACGGGTCTCTGGCGGATCAGGACTCCCGGGTTCGCAGCCCTCCTGGGGGCGGCGGCTGTCAGCACGGCCCGGGAGCCCGCGGCGGGGCCGCCGAGGGGCCGCGGGCCGCCAGGGCTGGGACAAAGCGCCGGATGGGGCGGGAGACGGGACCCAGCCCCACCGGCGGCGCCAGGCGCGCTCCGCGCGGGGCGTGCGCGGCGGCTCGGACGCGGAGGACGGGCCGGCGGCGCGGCCGCCTCCCGCTATGCGCTGCTTGGGAGCGCCAGACGGAGGGGCTCGCCGCCGTCCCGCACCGCTGGCCCCCATCTGAGTCCCTTTGCCCCCACCATTTCTACACGAAATCCCGTGCAGGGTTGGGCTGGATAAGCACTTCCTCTCAGCCTCGCAGTTCAGCTTGTGGGTCTGCGCCCAGGACTTTGCCTCTGGGCCTGATCACAAAGCGTATACGAGTTAAATTTAATATAACTGAACTCCTTGGGCTTCAATTCACGGAGACATCCTCCTAGTTCTCTGTGCTGCTCCTTGCCCTTCCTCATTCTTTCCACACCCCTTCTTCTTAGTATTAAATTCTTCTTTGAGAATTTCTGAGTCTTCCTGTGGAGTGTTTTTCTGTAGTTATTGTTTGTTTTTATGGGAAGTACAGTTCAGCCATGTACAGGAAAGTAACGTGTTTACTCAGGTATCTTGGATGAATTCCATTTTTATGTACTGACAGTTGCAAGTACTACAATCCCATTTTAGTTGAGATTTAGAAATATTTAAAGGGGGGGTGTCTTTCAGTTAATCAGCAGTGTATTTTGAATTCTTAATGCTAAATGTCTTAGTAATCAAATCAGTTCGTAGTTATTTGTCTTGACTGTTTCTTGTTTTCCACAAGCAATGTATATAATAGATGTTAGGTGGCTTTTTTTCTTAACAGCTTTATTGAGATACAGTTCACATTCCGTAAATATACTTATTCAAAGTGTACAATTCAGGGGTTTCCATATGTTCATAGAGTTGTGCAAACATTACCACAATCAATTTTAGAACAATTTCATTGTCCCAGAAAGAATCGCTGTACCCCTTAGCACTCACTCCTCATTTACTTTCTGCCCCAGCCCTAGGCAGCTGATCTACTTTCTGCCTCTATAGATTTGTCTAGTCTGGACATAATCCTATAAATGGGACCATTGTGACTGGCTGCTTTCGCTTAGCATAATGTTCCTCAAGGTTTATCCATAATTTGGCATGTATCAGTCCAATTCCTTTTTATGGCTAGATAATATTCCATTCCATATTTTATCCGTTCATCAGTGATGGACATTTGGTTGTTTTCACTTTTTGGTTATTATGAATAATACTGCCATGAACATTTTCGCATAAGTTTTTGTGTGAACGTTATGTTTTTATTTCTTTTGGGAATGGAATTGCTGGGTCATATGGTAGCTTTATTTTTTACATTTTGAGGAACTGCCAGACTTTTCAAAGTGACTGCAGCATTTTAAGATCCCACCAGCAATGCCTGTGGGTCCTAGTTTCTCCACCAACACTGAGCATGTGTCCTTTTTATTATAAAAAATATAATATGCTAATGGATGGATGTGAAGTAGTATCTCATTGTGGATTTGCTTTGCATTCTTTGATGGCTAATGATGTTGAACATCTTTTCATGTGCTTATTGCCCATTTTTATATTTTCTTTGGAGAAATGTCTGTTTAGATCCAATACCTGTTTTTAAATTGGGCTATTTGTCTTTTTACTATTGAGTTCTTTTTATCTTCTGGATACACATTTCTTATCAGATGTATGATTTTCAAATATTTCTCCTATTCTGTGGGCTGTCATTTCACTGTCTTTTTTTTGAGACAGAGTCTCACTCTCTTGCCTGGGGCGAGTGCCGTGGCGTCAGCCTAGCTCACAGCAACCTCAAACTCCTGGGCTCAAGCAATCCTACTGTCTCAGCCTCCTGAGTAGCTGGGACCACAGGCACGCACCACCATGCCTGGCTAATTTTTTCTACATATATTTTTAACTATCCAATTAATTTCTTTCCATTTTTTGGTAGAGACGGGGTCTCGCTCTTGCTCAGGCTGGTCTCGGAACTCCTGAGCTCAGAACGATCCGCCCGCCTCGGCCTCCCAGAGTGCTAGGATTACAGGCGTGAGCCACCGCGCCCGGCCCATTTCACTGTCTTGATGGTGTCATTTTAAGTAACACAGAAGTTTTTAATTTTAATGAAGTCTTGGTGAAGTCCAACATATCTATTTTTTCTGTTACTAGTGCTTTTGTTGTGTGGAAGAAGCCTTTGCCTAACCCAAGATTTACTCCTAAGTTTTCTTGCAAGAGTGTGTTTTAGCTCTTCTGTTTAGGTGTGTGATACTTTTGAAGTTAATTTTTGTATGCAAGGAAGGGATATGACTTCATTCTTTTGCATATTTTTGTTCCAGCACCATTTGTTGAAAAAGCTCTTTTCTCATTACATTATGGCACCATTGTTGAACATCAATTGACCAGAGATGTATGGGTTTATTTCTGAATTTTCAATTCTGTTCCATTGTCTAGGCTTATGACAGCCAGTACCACACTATTTAGATTACTATATCTTTGTATAGTTAGTTTGGAATCAGGAACTGTGAGTCTTCCAGATTTTTTCTTCTTTTTCAGGGTTATTTTGACTATTCTGAGTCCCTTCTGTTTCCATATGAATTTTAGGATTAGCTTGTCAGTTGTAGGCATTATGTTTTACGATGGCAATTTATAAAAACTTTCTAAAGGCCTGGTGCACTGGCTCATGTCTGTAATTCCAGCACTTTGGAAAGCTGAGGTGGGTGGATTGCTTGAGGCTGGGAGTTTGAGATCAGCCTGGGCAACATAGTGAAACCTGGTCTCTACAAAAAATTTAAAAATTGGCTGGGTGTGTTGATACATGCTTATAGTCCCAGCTATTTGGGAGGCTGAGGCAGGAGGATCGCTTGAGACTGGAAGTTCGAGGTTACAGTAAGCTATGATCACAGCATTGCACTCCAATTGGGCAACAGAGCAAGACCCTACCTCAAAAAAAATCAAAACAAACAAAAAAACCCCACTTTTATAAAGATCGTTTAAAAATTGAGGTTCTTGTAAATGCTTTGCATATTTTTGCTGCATGAATGTTTTTTAAGTTTACTAACTTAATTCGAAATCGCATCTTAACATTTTAAAGTTATGTTTCGTGTTCTGTTTATTGAGCTTTGAGCATATCCTTGTTTCAAGTTTTAGCCTATTATGAATAATGCTTCTGAGTAATGTTTCTCTGAGTATTTTTGTACACATTTTTGTGTGCTCCTACTCTGTCCTTGTTAGCAGAGGAATGGAAATAAATTTGGCTATCTGAAATCTAGGTAGAACCCCAAATCTAATTTTTGTTTCAGTCTTTGCCTTCACTTCCACTATTGAGAACAAATAGTAAAATAGGCTGCATTTTATTTATTTCCCAGCCTGGAAATGGGGCTGAAAGCTCTAAACTGGAGCTTTAAAAGCTCCAGAGGAGGCTAAATGAGCCAGGAAAGTCTAAAAACTAACTAACTTCTGAGAATTTGATAGTTGTCTGTTTAAAACAACTTAAAAATTTACACATTTCAGGATCATAGAGGAATTGTTTTATAAATGATCCTGAAATATGTAAATTTTATTAATTTTATTTCCCCCTAATGTTTAAAGTGGCACTGTTAAAAGGAAATAAAATTTGCCAAAATTCAAAACATCATGTACATGGTAAATATATACAATTTTCATCAGTTAAATAAATAAAAAAATACTTGTCAAAGTGCGGTAATGGGAACCTTTGAAGTTTTAGGCTTCTAACCAAACAACCTATTAATTATTTTCCCCCACATAGGAGCATATAAAGACAAACCTTTTTGTTATGGCATTTGTTAGAGGAAAGTTTGAATCACTCACTGAAACTCTGTTCAAGCTCTTTCGAAAGCAGCACATCCCTTTTTTTTAAGTATAGTTTTTTCTCAATTAAAACTATATGCTAAGTTAAAAATTCCTTTACTTAATGTACTTTCAAGAAAAAAATGTATTCAGAACTTCTACACAAAAGGTGTTTTGTTGCTGATAAGTCAGTTTTTGCCACAAAGTATAGTGCCATTGATAATCAAGCTGAAAATGTTTTTCTTTTCTATTAAAATTGGTTAGCAAAAATAATTTTGATAGCAGAAATCCACACCATTGCTTTTAATATGTAAAAAACAATTGTTAGTTCTTCAAAAGATTACATAACTTTGAAAAAGTATTGATCAATATTATTGTGAGGAAGTATTTCTCTACATCTTTTTCAAAGGAAGAGTTGAGTACTAGTTTATAATATTCTTGAGATTATCTGTAACAACATTGCACCATAGTAATTAAAATGGCTTTATATTTTTATGTAAACCTAGGTGGTTTAATTCAGCAGTAAAAAATTATTAAAGGAATGAATTTCATAGGTAATAATTTTTAAAGGGGGAAAAATAAGTAAGCAAAACTACTTGAGTTGAATACCTTATAAACCTCATTTTACATAGTAGTTTCAATCTGTATGAGATATGAAGCATTTACCCAAAGACACTAAATAGTATTCTTTAGTATATATCACGTCGTAATGAACTGATATTTTTAGTTAGGTGACTTTTCCAGAGGTTACCTCTAGTCAGCACATCAAAAATGAACAAAGAACAATTATCTTAGGTTTTTTTTTTTTTTTTTTTTTTTTTTTTTTTTTTTTTTTTTTGAGACAGAGTCTCACTGTGTTGCCCGGGCTAGAGTGCCATGGCGTCAGCCTAGCTCTCAGCAACCTCAAACTCCTGGGCTCAAGTGATCCTCCT